AGCGGCAAAGGAGACGGCTAAAGCTAGGCTAAATGCTAAATGCTAACAACAGACTTGGGCGCATTACAAACGTCAGATCCAATCGTTTCAATCTGCCAAAGGAGTTAGCCCCTCCCACCTGTTAACGGAGTCAATGGAGCAAATCCAGACCTTAGTACGAAGTGTAATCTGTACTATGGTATGGTACGACCAGGCAAGGACTGATCCACAAGAAGGTTTGTGTATTATAAAAGAATCGTGTCTAAAATAACTGAAGGCTGCTTATATTTTTCTGCTGGAGTTTAAATTTGTGACAAAAAGAGCATAGTTTATTAATGCCTTTTTAAAAATAACAGGGCCGTTTAATGATGACAGGAAAATCTTAAATATTGCTACTTTAAGAGTGAGCAACTAGTTTCATAGATTTTAGAGTTCAAATGTTTGTAGTTTGAAAGTTAGGTATCCTAGCTTTAATAATAAAATGGTTTATGTAACAGAGAGATTTGAAAAAGCTACATTTTAAAACACTGTCGTACGGCGGAGAAACGAATCCCAGCGGACGGCCGAGTTCACGCCGGGTCTGCCTCTGACTTTGTGGTTCTGTTTGGATCAATCGTCCGTCTTTGTGGTTCTGTTTGGATCAATCGTCCGTCTTTGTGGTTCTGTTTGGATCAATCGTCCGTCTTTGTGGTTCTGTTTGGATCAATCGTCCGTCTTTGTGGTTCTGTTTGGATCAATCGTCCGTCTTTGTGGTTCTGTTTGGATCAATCGTCCGTCTTTGTGGTTCTGTTTGGATCAATCGTCCGTCTTTGTGGTTCTGTTTGGATCAATCGTCCGTCTTTGGTGGTTCTGTTTGGATCAATCGTCCGTCTTTGTGGTTCTGTTTGGATCAATCGTCCGTCTTTGTGGTTCTGTTTGGATCAATCGTCCGTCTCCCTTTGAACTTAGGTTGTAATCTAAAATGACTGAATTGGCTGTAAAATAATCCATGTAACTAGTTTGTCGCTCTCAAACAGCTTGGTTCTACCTCTATAGACCTACTGTACATGTCTGAAAAACTCCTTAGATCAGCTTTTTCAGACAGAAAAGAGAAAAAGAGAGGACCCTCAGGATTAATTAGTGACTCTTATGGGTTTTCCGTACGTATGCAAAAGATAAAATATAAAAATAAAATAATGCCATATCTGGTTTGATGTGTTATTTTCACTAACACTATGTATGAAAAACGTTAAGTACCACAGCTCCAAGAGACTGCTTTAAATCTGGTGAAGGTGCACTTTTTATTGAACCCCGTAGAGCAATTCAATCCTCTGCATTTGACCCATCCTGATGCCGCTAGGGCTTATGTCAGGAGCTTAGACTGTATATATTAACAGATGTAGTCACGCCTATCTCCGCCGTAGTAACAGCGCCCGGGAACCCATCTCCAGATGCTGATGCTGGGCTTGGTCAGGACCAGAGCTGGAGGATTTAACCTAGTGAGCATGTTTTTAGTGGTAGGGGAAACCGGAGTGCCCGGAGGAAACCTACGCAAGCACAGGGAGAACGTGCAAACCCGCTCAGAAAGACCCCGTTCCGATCGCCACCCTGACACGAGTTAATCTAATTTACCCCCAAAATGTTTTGTGACTCTTTGACTTGACTATGACTCAATTTTTGTTGTAAAATTCCAAGCATTGATGGTAAAAAGTTATTTATTCTTTTAATCACACTTGAAACTGCAGACAACAACCAAATGTATAGTATGGAAAACAGATATTTATAAATTATAATTGATTTGTTTATTTTAGCATCTCTGAACCGCTGAAGCTTCCCATTGATATGAACCAAAAGTCTCACAAAAGGCTTTTGGCACCAAACGGCTTTTACAACTCTGCTTTGTGCCTGCGTTCCATTCAGCACCAGTGACAAAACCTACATAAATAATCTTGGGAGCCTAAAAATAAGTCTTCATAAGCAGATTAGTCAAACTGTATCCGCAAAAGCAACGCGGAATTAGAAATGTGTTTGTTTACGGCACATGGATACGCTTCTATCTTAGCGCTTTCTCGCCGCAGTCAGAAAGTTTCAAATCCACTAGTCCAACTGAAGATGTTTGTGCGGCGACATAATCGCGCTGATATGCTGCGTCTGTTTTATTTTATTTTATTATTTTTATTATTAAATCAACATAAAAACACAAGATACACTTACCATATTAACATTCTGGTTCCTACAATATACTGTATATCAATGCAGTCTGCACGGGATGAAGTCCGTGAGGCACTGCCCTAAACCAGTGCCTTTCGGAAACCACATCCACCGCAATAGGGTTGTGTGTGCTGCTGGTCCACTGTTAGTAGTAACATTTACCAGTTACACGTTTCTTAAATTCAAAAATTATTGTATTAAAAAATAAAATAGAATAAATAAAATGTATAATAATTAAACATTTTTTATAATAAGTTAATTAACAAAAAAAAAAACAAAAAAAAAAAAACACTATCTTCACCAGACCAGGCTTCAGCGAGATTAGATGGTTTAAAGGGCTCTTAAAACCTGCGTCTGTTTGTGAATGTGGACATAACGTTGAGCAGACACGTTCTCATGAGCTCATCTCTCGTCCTCTCTCCGCTTTATCGTATTCTCACACTGCAAAAAATGATGGAATTAAAGACAAAAAATACTCAAATTTTGCTGACTGTTTCTAAATTTGAGCACATTTTGACTTCCTTAAAACAAGATTTGCCAGTGGAACAAGAAATAATATATTGTTTTAAAAAGATACAAGACATTTCTCTCTTGGAATGAGAAAATAAAGCAATAGTTCTTGAGTCAAAATTGCTTGTCTCATTGGCAAATCTCGTTTTAAGACAGTCAGAAAGAACTTAAATTAATATAATAATTACTTGAATTGAGTTGTTTTTATCTCATATTTGATAATTTTTTGCAGTGCACCTTTTTTCCATTTCATCTTGTCTCTCAACAAATCAGGTTTTGGTCCTGGATGAAAACCACCCACATGTCTTCAAATACTCCCTAAGCCCTTATTGTGACCCTCTTCACATCCTGCACCCTTCTTCTCTCTCTCCAGGGCTCTGCTGACTTCACTACACTAAGCATAGTTGGTGGTCCACTGAATCTTCAAGGTGACAGGCGTGTCTGGAGCAGCAGACGGGTCCACTTTAGGCAATAAATCCAATGCATTTCAAACGTCTAACAAGTGTTGGTGTGATTGAACCTTGCTCCTCTGAAGAACACTCTAAGAACCGCACATACTGTATGAACACCCAACATGGACAAAATGAAGAGAGTATTGATCTTAAAGGGCAGGTGCCGATACAACTCTCCAAATGTCCGAATGTTTTTCCAGATCAATATTTAGTAGAGAGTAGTAGAGAGTAAGTAGGAAAATAATCTTTTTTATACAGTGCATTTTACAGACCCAGGTCACCCAAAGTGGAGAGTTCAGATATTTATCCATTCTCTCCACACACGGTGATGACAGAACACACTGACACATTGAAACCCCGAACCAACACCATCCATTCACTCACTCATTACTATCATTGTACATGTTTTCAGTGGTAGGGGAAACCGGAGCACCCGGAGGAAACCTAAGCACATAGTGATTTGATGGTGATTACTCTCAAAACGTTCAAATCCAGGTTAAAAAAGTTGTGCGTAGAGCTTAAAAATGTATCGGTAATGTACACCCCACGACCCGGCAACGGATGAAGTGTCAAAATTTGCTGAAATTTGGCAAAATGTATCGTAATTTGAGTACATTTTGACTGTTTTAAAGTAGGGATGTAAAAAACTATGAATTTTCATGACCGACCACCGAGCCTCATTAACCGGTTGAAACCGGTTAACCGCGTAGTTTAAAATAGTCCACGTTCTTTGAAAGCCATTTCGAGCTGCGTACTTTTCATATGTGCAGCTGAGCATTCTAATGGATCAGAGCCGAGACAGCGGCGCCAAAACCCGCAACAGCTTCGGACTGCTGTTTTAATCTTCCCATTCTTCTGTGCTGCGGCTTAAAGCATTTTTAAGCAAAAGACAGCTCGTCCACATGGTCAGAGCAGCGAGTGACGAGCCGCGTCTCGCAGGTCTCCGCTAAAGTTTAAAAGTGATCAGTGTGGAGCTGATGCCAAGGACCAGCAGCACAAACATGGTCCATGTGGTTTGACTGGAGCCGTGTATTTGCAAGAATGCTTTGGGCTCCGTGACACAGAGGAGCGCGACAGACCGGTATGTGTGTGTGTACAATACATGTATGTATGTGTGTATATGTCTGTGTGTGTGTATATGTAAGCTATGTGTGTGTGTGCAATACATGTATGTATGTGTGTGTAAATATAAGCTCCAATGTAGTTCTGACCCGCACCAGTGTGCAACTAGCAGACGGTAACACAGGGGAGAGATGATGCGTGTGGATGTTACGTGTCAATGGAGAGGGGGGGGATGTGTGTGTGTGTGCGTGTACATGTGTGCGTGCATATGTGGCGCGTACGGCGTGAGAGTCGGCCCAGAGTTTACTGTTACATTGGCGCACACAGCTAGATAGGGACCCGCTCGTCACATTGTGCAAATAGGGCTTAAAATAGCGTTATGAAGAGACCTCCCCTCTCCCCCTTTTCTCTTTTTTAACCGACAGCTTTGACCGGTTAACGCTGTGACGGTCAACCACCGGTTAAACGGTCACCGATTTACATCCCTATTTTAAAGCGAGATATTTAGTCTTTTTCTTTTTTCAAGAACTGGCCGTCAAAATGTGCTCAAATCAAGATATATTTTGCCAAATTTGAGCAATCTTTGACTTATTTTTTATCACTTTTTGCAGTGTGGATGTAATTTGTTTTATAGTGTTATTTGAATGCGTCTTTTGTTGTTTTGTTTAGCATGTATGTATTCTACTGCTGGCAAACAAGTAAGATATTTATTCTTGATTAGATCAAAAGAATGTCGTAGTTAACTGAGCATAAGTAGTGTTTCTTTAGCTATGACACCAACACAGCAGGAGTATTCGTGAGTTATACCTGTTTGGGGGAGTGGAGAAGACCCCCAGGATTATGTCACGCCCGTGCATGCGTATGACCGGGCTGGTGGAGTGCAGCAGGTTGAAGTAGAAGTGCGAGTCTCCGGGGACAGAGCAGTTCAGACGTGCTTTGAGGAACGACGTCCACTGCTTTTCCAGGACTCGCTGAGAGCCCCCCAGGTCGCGCTTACACACTCTGGCCACACGAGACACAACCACCTGCAGAGACAAGAGCCACTTAGAATCCAGCCCGGGCCTGCCAAAAACACCTTTCTAGTCTAGGTTTAGCAGAGCATCGACTAGTAAGATATAACACTGGAGAATCAGGCTATAGAAGCAGAACTGGAGCGCTTAAAATCACTGACTGCAATCCATTCACACGGATAAACATTTTGGAGGCATTATTCTTGTGTTTCATATGACGTCAGGGCAGTGGTGTGAATAACAAAAGTAGGACAGGACGTGACGTATCCTGGCGGTGCAGTCTGCCGGGTTTATACACGGAGATATAGTAGAAGAAGAAGCGCTGTCAAAACGCCATCTTTTTGTGCAGTGTACGCTTGAAGCAACCGCACAAATACAGAGAAAGACCAGAGTTTGTTCATGTTCCAACTGTGGTCTCATATAAAGGAGGACACTTTGAAAAAATCACTGGAATGAGGCGGAGGTGGATCAAGGCTTTCCCAGATAAGCGCCCCCTGCAGGCCACCCCAATGAAACGCAGCAATTTCTCCTGTTTTTCTTTCCAAAAATACCCAAAATCAAGACTCTTTTGAGGAATATTTGTTAGTACTTCCTTAGAATTGGGTGTCCCGTACACCGCACAGGAGGAGAGCCTTTGACTCCAAAACAGACTTTACATGGTTTTCAATGGGAGCAAAACTGTCCCATCTCTGCTCATGCGCCCCCTACTGGCCAGGTTAATGAAACCCAAGAATATAAAAATAATAGAAATCCAACATTAGTTTTGCTCATGTGTTGACTTTATATATGACCTCAAGAGGGTGGGGTATCAACATAATTGATCCATGTTATTTGTCTCAACAGGAGACTAGGAGCAGATTGGATCAGAGAGGTTGGATGATATATACATAATACTTTATTGATCTCATTAATAGTATAAAAAAAAAAACAACAACAAAACAAACTCTAAATACAGAGCAACAAAAGAAAAAATGAAGACGTAGAGCACTATTGGCCCTCACTTTTTCACTTTTTAGTCTGAAAAAGCTGATCTAAAGATGTGACAGAGGCTAAAAAGTACATGTCTGTGAAAACAAGAGATAGAACCAAACTGTTTTGAGAAAAGCAAGTTCCCCAGCTTTGAGAAAAAGCAATAAGCAAGTAAGTAAACAGAGGTGAAAGGACCAGGGGATTTCATAAATAAACACGGCTCCACTTCAACTCATCCAAGTGTCAAACAATGTACTTCACTTTCCAAAGTTATTATTATTATTATGCCAACCATGTTTTGACAATTAAAAATAGTGTTTCCAGGATCAAAGATTAATTTCAAAAGTAAATACTGCTCGTAGTAGTTTTTATTCAACACCCACTATCCAAGTATTTTTAGCCTTTTTCGTGATTATGTCAAGCCCAACCTCGCACAAGTATTTCTCTCTGAATTGTGAGATTATTAAAGTCATATCTACTGCAGAATCTTGGTGTCTTTGTAATGGCTGAAGGGAAGTACTTAGGCGTTATAATGCATCGTTTTTATAGTATAAAGTGCTTTTTCCGGACACTAAAAGATACTTCACGGAGTATTATTCTTTCACTCCTTACACTGAGGGGTGGAAAACTGCTGCACAACTGCTGGTAATGGGGGAGGTGTCTTGCCTGAGGACACAACAGCAGTTTTGCACCTGGTCTCCCATGACAATTCTAACCTGGATCTTCCCTGCTTAGTCTCTTAGGTCTGACAGTTTCAGGCTTTCATATGCAGGTGTGGACCTAAATAGACAATTCTAATTGAACACATTGGTAAAGGTGGGGTGTATACATGTAAACAAATGTGAACGATTCAGACCTCCCCTTTAATCATTCAAAACCATGATCTTTTTCATACTAAGAAAGTGCGCTAACAGAGGTTCAATTTGATGCTTCGACTGTGAACTGATTAGCTGAGTGAGGGTGGTCCTCCCTTTTTTCGCTTCCCTGCCTCAAAAAGCTAATCAGGAGATGTGACAGCCAGGCTAAAAATACATGCTTGGGAAAACTAGCGATAGAGCCACAGTTTTGAGAGATAGACATTAGATAGATTTGAATACATCCATACTTTTTTGATGATAATGATTGTATGATTGCTTATAAACTACTCAGGTGTAGCTCATGGGGGTATAAAACATGGCTGTCTGGCTCTTCTCTCGTCCACTCTCTTCACTTCCTTTGCCAGAATGTGCCATCTCCTAAAAACTTTTAATAGACACTTTCTGCAGACACCAGATAATAACTTGTCAAATCCTAATCTAACCTCAGACACATGTAAAGGCTGACTAATGAGACGCATCCATCAAGAGGGAGCCACGACCTCGCCAAAAACTTGTATTACAGAAGCTGCGCAGAAGTTAAAGCTGGGGTCCTCAACGTTTCCAATAAGCAGTAAAAACCATGCCACTGAATCCATGTATAAATTTTCTTGCGCTTTATCCGTTGCTGGGTCGTAGGGGCAGCATTCTGAGCAGAAACGGCTAAACTTCTAAATGTATTGGGTTCTTCTATACCAGAAAATATTTGGTTTTTGTGTTCCCAGGCGCAGTCAAGGTAATAACACCACAAAAACCCTCTATTGTCTGGTAAAGAAGAACCCAATACTTTTAATTCTACTAAGAAGATGAATCTTCCTAAACGGCTAAACTTCTGCCTCCACACACTTCATCCAGTTCATCCGGTAGAATCAAGAGGCGTTCCCAGGCAAGAGACTCCATCGTGTCCTGGGTCTTCACCAGGGTCTCCTCTCCAGTGGGATATGCCCGGGACACCTACCTGAGCCACCTCCTCGGGCTCCTGTTGACATGGAGGAACAGCGGCTCTATCTCATGCTCCATCCTTCCCTCATTTGTGAACAAGACCTTAAGATATTTACATTTGACAAAGGACGAGTGGCCAAAGGCTCCTTCTCCCCAGTGAGGACCCCACGTTTCCATCCATCCATCCATTCATTTTCTTCCGCTTTATCCGTTGCCGGGTCGCGGGGGCAGCAGTCTAAGCAGAGACGCCCAGACTTCCCTATCCATACACACTTCCTCCAGCTCGTCCGGGGGGACTCCAAGGCGTTCCCAGGCCAGCTGAGAGACATAGTCTCTCCAGCGTGTCCTGGGTCTTCCCCGGGGCCTCCTCCCGGTGGGACGTGCCCGGAACACCTCCCCAGGGAGGCGTCCAGGAGGCATCCTGAACAGATGCCCGAGCCACCTCAACTGGTTCCTCTCGACGTGGAGAAGCAGCGGCTCTACTCCGAGCTCCTCCCGTGTGACCGAGCTCCTCACCCTATCTCTAAGGGAGCAGCCACTCTGCGGAGGAAGCTCATTTCGACCGCTTGTATCCGCGATCCCACGTTTTCAGTTTTTTTATATATTTCGGCCCTTATCAAACCTTTAGATCAGCTTGTTTAGGCAGAAAAGTAAACAATAGAGAGGAGCACATTCATTTATCCAATCAGCTCTCACCCCAAAGTGCCAAATAGTGACTGGCTCAATTTGTGTGGACAAGATAACATGTTTTCCAATAAGAGGAAGACAGAAAACAAAACAAACTTTTACAAGACTCTGTTGGCGAAAACAATTCAGTATGATAAAAAAAAGTTAGATACTACAACTTTAATATAACTCCTTACCTTCTCCAGGTAATTGAACTCCATGGCAATCTCTCTGAAGAAGAAATAGATGTGAGGGCCCCACTCCACAGCACTGACGAAATATGGCTCTGTGTTTGAGAGAGAAGGAAGAGAGGAGCTCAGGTGAACCAGGGAAGGCTCTAATGAAATATAAATGGAGCATGAAAAGCATCATTTGGAGATGCACTGTTCACTGGCGGTGTAGAGGCCAGCCGGAGACAGCCACAGGCCATGGTTAATTGTATTACACAGCGAAAAAAGGATTTCATACAAATATAAACACATTATGGCTCCATGTGTGAGATGGAGAGGACATATTGTGAGGACAGGGAAAGGACAGGAGCTGCTGAAATACATGACAGCAGTGGAAACCGCTTTGTATAAAATGTGCTAGTGCAGCGCCTGTAAAGTGCCTGTAAAGTGCATTGGTTGATTATATGTAAGACTTCAAAGTAAAAATGAAGAACACGTGTCCTCCGTTCCTCCTTGTGTGCTCTGTGGCGAGGACACACAGCTGCTGCAAGGTGTGTCCTGCCCTTTGCGGCTCACGGTCATTTTCATACAGGGGTGATAGGTCGTTTTGAGCACGCTTTTCTACTTCTGGACCGGCCTACGTGCAGAACCAGGACTCAAACTTCAACACAAACAACTGAGCTGCGACAAACTCATCTGGACTGGAGATTGGATATTAATTTCATCTGTATTTCCGCTGGACAAAGAGCAGAGAGAGAACTGCCTCCAGACTAGGAGTGTGACGATATATCGATATGGTGCTGTATCGTGATACTTTCTCACACGATCGATTTGCTTTTGCCAAGTATCAATTAAATACTAAAAAAATACATATCTTTTTAAAATTAGTATCAATACTTAATGTATGGCTACATTACGCATCTCGTAAGAATCTGCTTTGACCTGAACATATTATTCTATGACCCAGATATTGCCAAAGAAACACATCTCCATCTATCAGCTGCTGCCAACAGACCATACAGTATGTGCTGTATTTGAATCCAGAGTTAAGAATTGGTTAATAACTTACACTTATAACTATTTTGTGTTTATTCAGATTGCTTTACTGAAAGATTACTATAACAGTATATTTCTGACCAATGTATCATATCGTGGTCATATCGTGGTCATATCGTGGTCGTGGTCATATCGTGATAAAATCGTTATCGTGAGCTTTGTATCGAGTATCGTATCGTGAGGTGCCCTGAGGTTCCCAGCCCTACTTCAGACCAAAGCAGATCGGTGCTGGTTACACACATGTTGCACACTTGTGTCTTTTTGCACAATCTGAGTGATTCTATCGGTGATATTTGAGACATGTACATTTCTTCATTGTGAGTTCAATAAAGTTTATCTTATCTTATCTCTGTGGTGAACTACTGCGAATGTGTGTGGTTCTGGTTGTTTTTGCATTGTTTTATTTTGTATTTTTTATTTTATTTCAGACACTCACCAGACATGTACACACAGGACACACAACACAACATAACGCAATGACAAATCCCACCCACCAAGCAACCTAAAAACAAAATACACAAGCCCGCCGACAGATACATAACTAACAGGCAAGACAAAAATATATATATATATATATATATAACTAAATAAACAACAACAAAAAATAAGAAAAACAAACCAAAATAAAAACATAGAGACCAAACACACACAAGTCCCCAAGGCCTTCATCCGTTCTGGTTGTTGCTGAACGTAGCCTAAAAGTTGGGAAAAACTAAAGTTATGCTAGTTTATCTTCTATATACTGTATATTAGACCAGTATACATGTAGGTATAATACTGCATGTATACTGACCATAGAGTGGAGTCGAAGTTTTGCCAAAGGGAGGGACTTATTTAAATAATAATGTTGATTAGTCCAGTGCTCCATGGCCAAAAATGTTATTCTTTTGACAAACAACTTCAGTTTCTGGCCTGTCACGCTTGTATCACATAACGTGCAGAGAGCTCATGTACCTCGGAACCACTTAGAGTCATGTTTCACAGTGCGCAGAGCCGGACTGTCCCCGAGGCTGCGGTAGATGACCGCGTCGATGGCCAGGAAGTCTGTGACGGTGGCGGTGAACAGGTTTCCTTCTGCAGGAGACACAAAGCACCTCACACTTTAACTCCCACACAAAACACACCATCAGAGCTTTGCATAACGGCCGACTCCTGATACAGACACAGCATTCTGAACGATGAGATTAATAATAATAAGCTCTGTTACGTACAATATCATATCCCACTGTGCATTAGAGTTATTTTGTGGTTTTCAGGTCATGTGTTTATTGAAAGCAGCCTTTGATGGTGAAAAAACACGTTCAAGTCAGAGAAGAGGAGGACGGCAAATAGTGGCAGGTGTTCAGCGAGTTAAGACAACAAGATGTGAATAAGTGTCTCAAAATAACTGCACGCTGTGATTATATTATTGTATATAATTAAAAAGCACAATGACATTTGGAATTTTACACCTGCTTAGAAAGATAAACTTATTCTACTGAAAGAGGCATCACGCACATTTGTTACGTGGTTAGACTGAGGGTGTCTTTGCTACATATCTACATATATATTAGTTATTAGTTGTGCTTATGGATCTAAGCTTATTTTAACAATTAAACTGGACATCATCTGCAAACCTTTGTTATACTACATTACTGTATTCTTGAGTTTCTAAGCTTGAAAATGATATATGGCATGTGTATTTAGAGCTGAAGTTGGCTGGATGACTTGTGTTTTTTTTTTTTTGCAGATATCAATGAGAGCTGCATAGAATTTATCACAACTTATTGAGTTCTGCATTTTCAGTTACTTAAAGTGAGGTATAACATGAGTGGGATAATCTAATATCATCTAATAAAAAGATAATGGGGCGACAGTAGCTCAGTTGGTAGAGCATTGGCCTTAGAGCCTGAAGGTCGTGGGTTCGAGCCCACCATGGGACCTCCACCGACTCCCACTGATGACTGCTGTTGTTGTGTCCTTGGGCAAGACACTTAACCCCACTTTGCCTGAAGCCGCCACTGAAAGATCTCAGCTCCTGTGGACTCAGCAGCTGCAGGAGGATCAGTGAGGGGCTGGTGCTCTGTGGACTGGGTGCAGCTCTGGTCATTAGATGGAAAAGATAATGGTGAAAAAGTGACACCTTGACCCCTTGAAAACTGTCAAATGAAAGTGATTTTATGCACGGATAGTAGTAAATCCTGTCTCACAGTGAGCTTCAGTGTGTGGACTGTGGATATATCCGGTCACAGTGAGTAACCCTATGGCCAACATTCACTGAGCAACCCAAAAAGTGGCGACTGTATACAGCACAGGGTAAATAATGCATCTGTGAAAGTGCATGCATCAGAAGTGTGCTCCACTTACCTGCAAACAGAGCTACGTTGGCGTGTTTGGGGTCGTAGGGACAGCGGGCCATCCCACTCACCGGGTCACCCACCATCTCCAAAGTGTCGCCCTATGACACATGCACAACAGCACATATGCAGCAGTGGTGTATAAAGAAACAACATCCTCAAAGCACCATGAGGACCAGCCACCAGAGAACGGCAATTAGTAAGCGTTAGCGTAAGTGCTGTCTAATGATTCACTGGTGGCAATTAGACACAACAACAAAAGACTCATGAATAAATAAAACAACACCGGCGCACCATGGCTTTCTACTCTGACCTTTGCCAACAATGCATTTGGCACATACAGATCCATTATCTTTTCTAAAACACAAACATGGAAAAATCCCATCGAGAAGTGTGAAATGAGATAATGTGTGTTTCATTAGAGCTGTAAATAAAGCTTGTGTTTCACAGGAGTCTCCAGAGAAAGTCAGGACCACAGGCCGGTGTGCGCACAGAAGAAAGTCATCAGTGGTTGACAGATAATGGGCGAAGCATGCTGTGTTTTCACTATTGTACCGTGCCCTGAAAGTGCAAGGCTGATAATAAAAAGTTTTCCGTATTTATCTCCTGTCCCTGAATCAACAGCCTTCATCTCTGCGTTATTATTCAAACTGAATGTTCGAGAATCAGCAAGTCGATTAATATTTATAACAGTTTTCTATTTCCTGAGTTTGATGTGGCAGTGGCACAGAAGTCATCTAAATACGCATGCACATTTCAGTAACAAAGTCGATTTTTTTGGAATATTTTGATTAATTATTACTAATACTGCAGCTACTCGGACTGTTTTGCCTTTTTGCTGAAGTATCCTTGAAGTTGGAGGTGGAACTCTATTGAGTCTAATCCTTTGAAGTAAAAATCCAAATAAAACAACACGTTTGTAGATAGCAGCCATCCCAACATAAAAGTGTCTTAAAAAGCTGTGGCACATTTCTTTCAAATCACTTATTGTGGAAGAAGCCATAGAGCGAACTCTAACAGGCTTTTTGAGCTGGGATGTGAAGCCTAATGTGTGGGTAGCGACAACCGAGCGTCAAAGAACCTGTCAGAAGGGCCACCTGTCAGAAGGGCCACCTGTCAGAAGGGCGGCATGGTGGCACGGTGGCTGAGTGGATAGCACTCTCGCCTCTCAGCAAGAAGGTCCTGGGTTCGAATCCCGGTCGGACCAGGGCCTTTCTGAGTGGAGTTTGCATGTTCTCCCCGTGTCTGCGTAGGTTTCCTCCGGGTACTCCGGTTTCCCCTACCACTAAAAATATGTCCAATAGTTCTGGCATGCGCCTCCTGTACTGGCCCCGCTCCCATCTCTGTGTGGAGTGAGAGACAAATGCCCAAAATTAACAATTGTAAACCGCTTTGAGACTCAGATCTGCAGTGAAAAGGCGGTATATAAATAAAAACTTACTAACTTACTTACTTACAGAAGGGCCACCTGTCAGAAGGGCCAGAAGAGCTCGGGCATTGCAGCAGCTGTACTGTTTAGAAGGCACCTGATTGGTCGGTTGGTCGGATTTACACAAATAATATCAAAATAAAAACGGCATGATTACAGAGAGAAAAAAACCTGAATTTCTATGAGTGACACAAACAGTTACTGAGCAAGGGAAGTTTTTTATTTTAAATGAGCCTTCATTGGGCTGACGTTAAGCCATTACCCCATTACACTCACTGAACCAGAGACATACAACATGTGTCTTTACCTTCATTCATTTGCCTTTCGCACAGTTTGGCTTGAATAAGTGCATTTTAATGTAATCAGTTAAGTCTGGGTTTTTCTCATAGACTGTATATATTAACGGACAGAGTCACGCCTATCTCCGCCGTTCTAACTAATGGGCCAAAAAATGTGCTCTACTGGAGCTATCCAAAATGGCCGCGAGTGGTCCCACCCACAAGAAAATTGTGAAAAAACGCATCTGCGCATGCGTCAGCCGGCGCAGCTCCATTCATTTGAACGAGAGACTTCAAAAATTCACAGAAAGTAAACTAGAGTGGACCAGAACACCCCCTCAGCATTGACACACATGTGGAACGGAGCTTTGGGCCAAGAGCCAACTTTTGGTCCATCCTGTAAAGACGTTTTCCAGAGGTCTGCCAATGCTATATGTTAGCATTGGCTAATTCTACTTCCGGGTCCACCCCCACAGGCCCGGGGTGGTATTGCAGCATGTCAGCGCACGTCATTTTGGCCACTTTTGAGCCGGGACCCGCCCCCACTGGTTTTGCTCCTGCCGGTCCAGGGCGCCCTCATCACCCCCTCAGGTTAGACTCCTGTCCCAGCTGGGTACAAGTATGGCTTTTATCTCATGGCTGCGGAAACGTCAAGAAGTGATTCCTTGATTCACTCATTCTTCTGACTTCACATTTGGGTCTTATACTCTAAGAATGTTTTTGTTTTGTCTGCTTTTAACAATTACTAACTCACTGTGTGGGTTCTAGAAAGACAACCACTGGTAGAGATGTACTTATCGTTTTTAGGGATGTACGATTCAGATTTTTTGTGATCTGATCCGATTCCGAAATTCTTAAATATTGTTTTGCCGATACCGATCCGATACGATCCAATTTTTTCTAATATTTTCAAGGCATTAAAAATTTTGCAACCAGTATTACTTAAAAATGTTTTGTTTTATTATAACAAGAATCAAAAATATTGTTTGGCTTTTGCTTAACAGACCACCTGAGTTAAGTCATAGGTAAGGATCACATCAGTATTGAATATTTCACCTTTAAAATAAACTTAACCTAAAAGAAATATCCAAGAGGAACAATTATCAAAAAGCGGCCCTCAACATTCAGTATAACAAAAACAAAAGAGCTGATACTGTCATGTCTGGTTAAGTTGTGTTCTGTGATGTAAAGCTGTTTTGTTTTGAAATGTGTTTCTCGTTAGACTTCCTTCCTGCTCTTCCCTGTTTCCCCGACTATGTGATTACGGTCGGCACTAGATCATAAACGGAATCGGGACAAAACCGGAAGTAACAATCCTACTTTCGAATTAGTTTTAGACTAATAAATCCTTGAGTGCTGACTGGTTAAGTTTTAGGTGTCTGGTTAAGATGATTAAGGTTAGGGTTAAGGGTGGGTTGGGGTTATTTTAGGGGAATGGCTGGTTAAGTTTAGGCATGAATAGGTTTAGTTTAGTTTAGTTTAGTTTAGTTTATTTGAGCAGTTTCCATTTGTGTTTTACATTCACATCTTTGTACATTATTACAATTATTTACATTAACATTTTTGAAAAATAAAAATAATAATAAGGATTGAAAAAGAAAAGGAACTACCTCAAAAGGAGTAGGCCGAAACAAGAAAGCTTATAAGTGCCTACCCCCTATTCAACTGCATTTATTTTCCAGCTGCAGGCGGTCCCCAATAGGGGTAATAATAACAAAGGTACGAACGATTATTAGTATTTAAGTTTAACCATTTACAAAATACCAAGTTCGGTCATTACTTATAACAACAGGTCACCATTCTATTGATTTATTTAATGGAAGTTTATATTTCTCATTGTTTTATAATATAGATGCATGTATACATACATACCTACATGCATGCATACCATTATCACCGTCACCTTAATGACGATGGCAATTGCATTTCCAAAATATCATGCTTCACCTTGCTGTCCTTCCCATTTCCACTGCATTTATCATTAGTATTGGTTGTGATTTTTTGTCAGTGGATTATGATTGTTTGCCTTATTCATTGAGGTGCGTTAAACCCTCAGGTAGGTAGTTTGTTATATTTACTTCTGCTTCCGTCCCGATTCCGTATATGATCTAGTGCTGACCATGTGATTACCTGCCTCGCCCCTGATGTGTGACACCTGTGTCCTTGCCCTCCCCTCTGTGTATATAAGCCTGTATCTTCCCCATTGTCTCTGTCAGATTGTCTTTGTCCATGTGCAGGTAATCATATCAGTTTGTTCTTGTATGTTTTTTCAGTTTTGACTGGCTTTCTTTTTGTTCTTTGTCCATGTGCAGACTCTGTGGGAATTTTATGTTAACGATCCTGATTTCTGACCACGAAAATAAAAGAAACTGAGCAACGCAGTTGGGTCTTCTGTGCTGATGTGTCTGATAACTACATAACTGAATGAGCACAAAAAGCCAGTACTTAACCAGTGTGTGAACAAAATACCCATATCGACCCCCGATACCGAAGCTGAATATCGGATTGGTACATCCCTAACCTTTTTAACATGTTTAGGCTTCAGAGCTACAAGCCACCTTCAGAACGGAATGATTGTTTTGAAACTGTTTTTAGTCAATCGATTTCACAGTGACATTTGTTTACTGTTTTATTTGTTTTATTTCTGTCTTTTAATGTTGTTGTCTGTATTTGTCTGTGCACACTGGAGACTTTTTGGCTAATGTATTCCAATGTGGTTTTGTTACTGCAATAATAAATACTGCAATGGCAAATAAATAAACTGAAACTGAGAACTGTCCTCAAGCTGATGCTAACAAAGTAATTACACGAATAAATGAATGAATTTTGGTCAATTGTTTGATTAATAACATGTTGCATTCACTGACTATATTACAACCAAACATCAGTTGTTGTCATTGAATAAGAAGCTGAGCAGTTGAAAATAGGATGGGGTTTCGAACGCCAATAAGAAAAACATTCAATCTAAAAATCAAGATCAGCCAATGTGAGATAATCGCACAGTTTTACAGATACGTGAAAAATAGAGAAAAACAGCTTAAGTCTAAACAGGTTCTTGTTTTCTAAAGATAAAATAGGATAAAGCCTGTTGTGGTCTGATCTAAATACTTCACGTGTGGCCTCTCGGTCTTTTCCCCTGTGGTTCTTTATCATGTGTCTGACTCTGATTCTTCTTTGTGACGATCTAAAAACAAAAATTGTATAACTACTTGCATAAGACATTGGCAGCTTTACTGTTTATGTTTTGTAAATACTCTGGGATAGGCGCAATAAGCTTTAGCTTCTGCCTATTCCATTTCAGACTTTATGTTTATTTATCATCTGTTTGTCATCTGTTGAATGTTTGAATGTCTGAATAAAATAATCTGAATCTGAATCTGATGCTAACAAGCTCAACACAACACAAGCTTTAACCACGGACTAACAAGTGTGAGCGGATGGAAAGTGTTCCCGGCAGACACAGCGATAAATGACTGTGTCTAAAACAAAACAGTCTTGTCTACGTTATTCTGAAGATTGTGTATTTTAAACGGTTGAAATGTGTGTTTTTTAATTTATACATTTTATCGTGGCTCGCAACCTCTGTCAATCAGTAAGATATTCACTACCTTTTAAAGAGTTTTAGCATCATCCAAAGTTTGTGTTCATGTTGATATTTCAGTTGGTGGGAAGATGCCTAATAATAAGAAAGAACATGTCCAAATGTTTTCCATGATCAATATTTGATACTGATTGGATTCACAACGCCACAAATTTGTCTGAAAATTCTTTCTTCTGGTCAACATCAGGCATTCTGAATATTGTCATTTGTTTGACTTCTAGGCACCTTCATGAAACAATGATCAGACATTATTTTACATGTACAATTATTATTGTTATTCCTGTGTTTGAACCATAGACTGTATATATTAACAGATGTAGTCACGCTTATCTCCACCGTTCTAACTAATGGGCCAAAAATTGGGTTCTCATGGAGTGATGCAAAATGGCCGCGCGTCAGCTGCACGAGCCCCGTTTATTTAAACGAGAGACTTCAAAAGTCCACAGCGACTAAACTAGACTGGTCCAGAACACTCCCTCAGCATTGACACACATGTGGAACGGAGCTTTGGGCCAAGAGACAACTTTTGGACCATCCTGTAAAGACATTTTCCAGAGGTAAGAAGATGCTATATGTTAGCATCGGCTAATTCCGGGTCCACCCCCACAGGCCCGGGGTGGTATTGCAGCATGTCAGCGCACGTCATTTTGGACACTTTTGAGCTGGGACCCGCCCACACTGATTTGAACTGTTTCTCTGGTCTGTACTGACAAATCAGCAACAGCGGCGTTGTGATTTAGGGCCATACAAAAATAAATTGATGTGAACTGAACTGAATGTGGAACAGTTTTTGTTCAAACTAGCTCTAAACTAAAATCCCACTTTATCATTAATGGACACTGGTCATCTGCCCTTTATGGACCGATACCAATGTGTTTGAACTGTTTGATTCTCTGATCTGTGTTGGCGAATACAACGGTTGTGTAAAGTCCTTTGAGATTACTGTTGTGATTTAGGGCTTAATAAGAAAAAAATTAATTGAAAAAATATGTATTTGAAAAGACTAGACAACTAGACCATTATTATGTACTGACAAAGAAGACGTGGAATGTTGTTTATTTATTTTTTTTTTTTTCTTTCTTCTTATATACCACCTTTTCACTGCAGATCTGAGTCTCAAAGCGGTTTACAATTGTTAATTTTGGGGATTTGTCTCTCACTCCACACAGAGATGGGAGCGGGGCCAGTACAGGAAGCACATGACAGAACTATTGGACATATTTTTAGTGGTAGGGGAAACCGGAGCACCCGGAGGAAACCTACGCAGACACGGGGAGAACATGCAAACTCCACTCAGAAAGGCCCTGGTCCGACCGGGATTCGAACCCAGGACCTTCTTGCTGAGAGGCGAGAGTGCTATCCACTCAGCCACCGTGTTGTTACAGTGGATTGGCCCAGAATTAACTAAGACGTGGAATCTGACATTTGACAGTTACCGTCGTTAAACTATAGGCTCTGTAGAATGTAGTGATGTCACATGATCACAGCCTATTGTCTCTTATCGCCACGGAGATCTAGTTTCAGGATGTAGAACAGATGCAGTATTGATGCAGGGCTTGTACTCACAGTGTAGTTGGCGCACAGCGGGTTGAAGGCGTTGGTCCCACACACGAACAGGCCGCCTCTCCGGCTCAGCAGCACCTTCATGAAGTTACGGCACTCATCCTGAGGAAAAGAAGTTTGTAATTATATATATATATATAATAGGTAGGTTTGAAGTCTGCAGAAGCTGATGATTCAAAGTACAAAGTGAAACGATGCCTTCAGTGCCTGATGTGTGAAATTAACTGTGTCAATCATCTTCATAGAGACTGAGCACTGCCGCACACACACACACACACACACACAGATAAGTACACATACGCACACACACACACAGATAAGTACACATACGCACACACACACACAGATAAGTACACGTACACACACACACACAGATAAGTACACATACGCACACACACACACACACATACGCACACACACACACAGATAAGTACACAAACGCACACACACACACACAGATAAGTACACAAACGCACACACACACACACACACATACGCACACACACACACAGATAAGTACACATACGCGCACACACACTCACACAGACACAGGCACGAGAGCCAGCGGATGATTGACAGGCGATAATCCAGACACAACAGAGTTTCAATAAGCCTCAAACTTACAGAATGCAAATGTATCCAGTGCACCGATGCAAACAGCAATGAAGCTGCGTATAATGACTACAAACGACAGTATTTGTCTGTTATCTCTCCTTGTCAGCTATCCAGCAAAGGTGAACAAAGTACTGTGAAAGTCTTTAACAAAAGAATAACTTTGTCACATCACATGAAGGATGATATTCCATTAGCAGAACTACCAGCCTGCACACTGCCTCCACTGCAGCGGCTAATACTGCTGTGTACTCTCTCGGTTAAGCGGTGAGAGAGTGACCGCCGATTTATTTATCCTTCCAATCGTCAAGCTTCAGTTAATAAAGGCAATCTCTTTGTTGTGGTATAATAATGCAGTTAACTTAATCTGTAACCAAAATATAGATACGTATGTCAGATATAAAAGTATTCTAACATTTACCAGGGCCATCAAGTGACCCTAACTAAATACTTTAACCTTAATCTGTGTGTTATATAAAATCAACTTTCAACTTTTTCCAGCATTGCAAACAAATGAGAGGACTAACCGGGGGCTGACGTTACGATAGACCAGTGGTTCCCAAACTGGGGGCACTTGCGAATGGACGAATGAATGAACAAAAATACAGTAGGCTTAAGATGGACACGTTTTTGATTCATTACAATCTGCAGTTAGGGCTGAGGTTTATATTAATTACAATGTTAAAATAAGCTGCAATGGACTAAATGTGTATGTATGTCCAATAAGGAATAGCCCCAGCCCTGGTCTGTCTCTGCTCCCGTTATCTGCTCCCGTTACAGCCAAATCCAAGGACAGCAGGAACCTGGCTGGTGAGAACAATATCAAAACAACAGCAGGATCACAGAGCGCTAAACCACTGAGTTAGAGCAGTTCACTTTTTAGTCAATAGAGGCCAGAGTGACAACTTTGAGCACTTCTCTATAAGGGTTCAGTGATCCAGGGGTTAGCATGTTTCATCTGTGCACAGTCTATGCACAGGACTTGATGGTCCAGCATGAACTCTGTTAAAAACTAGTTGTGCTACAGTCATCTGGACAGAAGCACACAACAAACAAGGTATTAGTTTTTACTTGCATGCAACAAGGAGGAGATGCTTTATGGCGTCCTCTGCAGCCGTAAAGACAAGTCCTGCCCGATTGCTCTGCAGGCAGCGTATTTATTTCAAAGCGGGTAACACACCTTCACACGTGGAAAAGCCCCAAAACTAGGTGAAGTTACGCATTAACCACTTGTTGGACAACGTCTTGAAACATCATTTCACACATAAGACCCCAATGTGGACAATGTGGATAATTATTAGCCTGAATTGTTGATTTTGCCACTCCAATGTAGGTCAACCCAAAAGTTGTTCTAAACTGAATATACTTACATTCACTTTAATGATAACCCAACAACAATTCCATGATCAAACTCTGTGTGAAATATATTGCATTTTCACAAGATCAGTATGTTTGGGTCTCGTTGGGTTCTCAGTGAAAAGGGTTGAAGCCAAGTATCTGCTCATTCCAACTCCCTTTGCCCTGTGTGTTTCTGTGGATTTTATATCCTGTGTGTTGTTGTTGAATGTGCAAATACTGTAAGATTACAATGACAGGCCTCTCATCTTTTTAAGTGGGAGAACTTGGACAATTGGTGACTGACTCAAAACTTTTTCTGCCCCACTTTATGTGTGAAAAAGTTCATGTTTTGGGTGGAGATCTCCAGTTCCATGGCAGAAACCTGTGCACACACATGTCGCAGCCTGATTATTTTCCGCAGTGGCATTATTCACACAGTATTAGTTCATATGCTTTGAACTGAGCCACTTGCAGCCGCGGTGCTCCATGTCCGACACTGGTGTGACGTGTCCATGTTACCAACACTCTCACAGCTCTTTACAACGAGCTAATAATCCTACGGCTTTTATAGGACGCTTATTATTCTCTCAGTGCCGTACCAGACGCTATTAACCTATCAAGCACACGGCGGCCGGAGGACTGTCGGTCTGTGCCGGCGAAGTCACTGCCTTTTTACACACAGAGTAATGGGAAACATGAGTTAGCAAAAGTTTTCCAAGTCTAACTACTGAAAAAACACTGCACATTATAAATGTAAAGTGATTATTGTTATTTATAACTGAGATTGGATGACAAACCTAATCATAACAAGGGAAACTCATCAAGTGTTTCTAATTTGATTTCTTAATTAGTTGTCACAACTCATTCCTTGAAACAAAGCTCGTGCTGAAAAGCTTTTGACCTTCAAACATATCAACACATTGTTTATTGTAATCTAATTACTTTTTCAGTATAATGCACAGATGTTGTTGACCATTTAAAACACAAAGACTTCATAAAGACTTCCAAGGATGAAGTCACATAAGGTCTAAATACACTTTAAATAGTCTGAATACACTTTAAATAGTCTAAATACACTTTAAATAGTCTAAATACACTTTAAGTGTCCAGGCAACAGTGGGAAAGGTAAGGGTTTTTAACCAAACCAACGTGTCAAAAAGAATCGCCAAAACTAAGGCTGCCGCAATTCATCGCAACTCATACATTATGGAAGTGGTTTTTAAGAAATGTCATTTTCTAAAGATGGAGCAGGAAAGTCTTTGTTCTATGAATTATTTTTATTCACAACTTTAGAGTCGCCTTTTCTGGTCCCAGCAGATCTTGCCAAAGTGTGGTTTTCAGAAAAGGACGGTGTCTTGTACTGTAGGCCTCCAACACTTATCAAACATGACTGTTACAATAACACACAGGAGCAATAGAAACATTTGTTTTCAAAGACGACTTTGTAAATGAAAGAGCAGTGCGACACGTTTGTCACAGTTTGTTGCTCTAACATTATGTGAGCGTTGAAGGGAGTTAGCAGCAGCTGCGTGAATGTAAAGGGTGATCCAGGGTTTTGGGTTAAGAACATTTGGTCAATGGGAAAGTACTTATAGCCTTAATTATAGTACTAATAATTATTGCAATCCATTTAGATCAATGCAGTGAAAGTGAACATTTAATTAGAATGAGTGTATTTCCTGAACAGTTCCAGTTCTAAGATGACCAGAGCAGCTGCTGCCGTCCATAACAGATCTATAATACTAAAAATAATTTTTGGCCCATTAGTTAGAACAGCGGAGATAGGTGTGACTACGTCCGATAATATATACAGTCTATGGTCCTGATCAGGATAAAAAAATTACACACATCTGTTTTTAAAAAGCACTGGCACCTGTGTGAGTGCAGAGTGAGGGGCCGCACATGGGGCCACACTGGAGAGAAGCCAACACGCCCCAGTCACATGGCACCGGCAAAACCCACAGAGCTGGAAATGCAATACAAGGCCACTTCTCTTTACCATATAAAAGGTATAATATATATCCTGTTCCTGCTTTTAAAGCTGGGGTACCTAGTTTTCAAACCACTAAAATGTAATAAATGAATGTAGCTGGTCCCTCGCTCAAAAGCAGTTTGGTTCGATCTCTGATTTTCACCTGCATGAGTTTTCTTCTGATCAGCTTTTTCATACAGGAAAGCCAATATTCATATCCAGGGTAAAAAAAATAAAAAATAAAAATTGTTGTGATTATATCTGCATTCTTTTCCAATGTTTTATGTCTATGATTCAAATGTTTTTGTATAATATTAATGTTTCCTTTCTTGCCCTTTGAGTTTGAGCCTATTGCATGAACATGTTCTATAGCTCTCAGCCCGGGCTCTTTCTCACAAGCGCTGATTTCTGAAGACAAAGATGAGATCTGATTTGCTCAAAAATAACTGACTTAACAAGACTCTTTCTGTTGGAACAAATACAAATATGGAGTCTTCGGCCTAGCGTACATGGACAGAGTAACTGGAGACAACTAGTTTCAAGGCGGCTTTTGGCGACTGAGAGGAGATGATGGAGATGATCAGTTGAAATCGGTCGATGTGAGCGCTCTAACAACTGGAGATAAACTGTCGATCTCCGGATTCAGTCAGTTGCCCGTGTTCTACTTTTCGGCAACTAGTTGTCCTCAGATCCGGAGATATCACCCGATGTGCTCCAACAACATGTGTGTATTGCGTGTATAGCGCCCTCTACAGTTTATGTCAGAAAACACACTGTAGTTGAGGCCAGTTGCTGTTATTCCTCAGACTGGCCTGATACAGGAGTTTTTTCTCCAGATTGTCCATGTGTGCGGGGCAGCCACTCATAGACCACGGATATAATCAGTTGCCAGTCCGATGTACGCTAGGCATTCTACTAAATGAACGATGTAGGTACCCCTGCTTTAATTCGAATTACTAGTACTAGGCAGAAAGATTTTCTCAAGAAGAATACACTTTATATCTATCGCACTAGAATGAATCTTGTTTTGAATGCCAGCCTATTTCAGAACAGGTACTCCCACAGTGCCAGCCATTTCTGATGATTTTTACTGATTTTTCAAGACCCACAAAATATTGTGTACTATGACTATCTGAAATCCGACACCAGATTCTAAAAGAATGGACTGTCTACTTTCCTC